TCATAAGTATTGGTACCATAAAAAATAACTGATGTCATACTGATATATTGTGCATTCCTACATTGATTAGTCGTTTTCTTTAGGATGTTTTAAAATCAATCTTATTTAGTGTTTTAGACTAGTGAAATGCATCTGAAGTCAACTGCTTATGTCAGTTTTTATGATAGCCACTGTTGATATTATGATTATTACTTATATTGTTATCTTTTCCTACTATTCCTAGTATAAACGTTACTGCCATGCATACACAGTGGTTTAATTTGTAAATTAGCTGAGCATGATACAAATTGAAATTTATCAGGTAAAATGGTGGTTGCATTAGGACCATGAAATAATGCTAATTTAAAAAAAAAAGTTTTTTCTTGTATGTTGTGTATAGCACTTAAGCAGTCGCCTGGCTCGTCTGGCTGCAGAGCTGAACCTGTGTCACAGTTTCCAGGCTTTCCACTCTTCATACAGTGACACTGGACTGCTGGGTATTTATTTTGTAACAGACAAACATAAAATAGAGGACATGATGCATTGGGCTCAGAATGCCTGGTAAGTTCAGCTATAACATACAGAGAAGATAGGATTGTCATCTGATGTTTTGTAGTTGTATTTGAGGTGATGTCCTCTTAATGTTTCTGTATTATAGGATGAATTTGTGCACCACAGTGACTGAGAGTGATGTGGCTCGAGCCAAGAATGCTTTGAAGGCTAGCTTAGTGGGACAGCTCAATGGTAATTAACTCAAACATACTTTCTCTTATGGACAGTCTATACCTTCTCTCTTTGCATCAAAAGCTAGTCCTAGTAAAGGAATCATTGATTTTTCAGATTTTCACTGGAATTACTGTTAATTATAGTGCTGCAACAAGTAGCCTTGTTAACAATTTATATTTTTGTCTTAGAATAAGTTGATATGAGGAATAGATATAGATCTGTATCGGAAATAAAAAAAAAAGTGTTATTGGGCCATCCCTAGTAGTCATTCAACAAGCACATTAGTGTCATTTAAGCTACAAGCAAGTATTTGTGTGTAAAAAAAAAAAAAAAAACCTTTAATATGTTTTTAAACAAGTTAGCATCTCATGTTGACCTTTGAAGATTTTCAAAATCTAATCTGCATAGTGTTTGGACTTAATTGTGCTCCTCTGATGTGAGTAATAATATTTTCATAAATAAGCAATCGCTTATTACTACTCGACACAAGGTCTTTAAAACAGAATATTTTTATTTCCAGCAGATGATCGTGGTTAAAACAAGCCCAAAAACAACATCATAGCACAACGTGGCTTACCTTTGCTAAATGCGCCGCCTTTTTTGGTTACATACCAACCAATGTTTGCAGATATTGGAGAAAAATATATGATTATGATCATCACTTAATTGTATCTGGTGTTGTGCTATAGTACATCAGACAGCTGCAAATATTTTATGCACCTCTACTTTAAACTATAGTGACAGTAAGACATGTTTTTGCTGTAATATTGACTTTAATACCTCTCAGACCAAATTGACTGCTTCTATATACACACACACACACACACACACACACACACACACACACACACACACACACACACACACTCTAACTCTATAACATGTTTCTTCTTTCTGTCCTCAGGAACTACACCTGTTTGTGATGACATTGGCAGGCACATACTAAATTATGGTCGCCGCATCCCATTGGCAGAGTGGGATGCCAGAATTGAGGTAAGTTGTCCATGTTAGCAAACCCACAGTGGCTGAGTGACCACTGTTTGAGATGGCATTTAGTTTTATTTTAAAGGGGTCATACGATGCTGCTAAAAAGAACATATTTTGTGTATTTAGTGTAATGAAATGTGTTTATGCGGTTTAAGGTAAAAAAAAAAAACACATTATTTTCCACATACTGTACAATATTTTTTCTGCTCTATGCCCCGCCTTTCTGAAACGCGTCGATTTTTACAAAGCTCATCGGTCTGAAAAAGCAAGGTGTGCTGTGATTGGCCAGCTATCCAGTGCGTTGTGATTGGCCGAATACCTCAAGCGTGAGACGGAAATGTTACGCCCCTCACCATATTGTGATGCCCTGTCCGGCCGGAGCGATGATTCAAAAACATGAAAACCCATTATAAACGAGGCATTCGTTGCATCCAGTGGGGACATAATAAATTCGTGTTTGAATCATCAGTGGCAAATTCTTTAAATGAAAACGTACTTACGTGAGTCAGAACTGCTGGCATTTTAGTCTAACGTTACTCTCCCAGGATCAGTAAACAGTCCTCCATAAAATGTGCTGCACACATCTGAATATTTGGGTTGAAGTGTTCTGGAACAGTGTTGTAAATACAACTTTACCACTGATTTCTAGTCGTGTCCATTTTTGGAAGGCCTAACTAAGTAGTTTCGCTTTCACAACGAAACACGGCGCCACACACGGCGGCCGAGAGTGAGCAGAGGCGGGTGGGCTTGAGAACGATTTCGACGGAGTGTCAGGAAGGACATGTGACGACTCCGGGCTGGTCTCCGCTTTGTCCACGGTGAAAGCCGATTCGGCGATCAACAGCGCAAAGTTGTAGTATTTCCTCGGCAACCAGCACGGATCAGCTCCAGGCATGACGAAGCAGATATCGTCCTCTTTTGGAAGACCAAACAAAGTAGTTTCACTTTCACAACGAAGCACACAGCGTCTTTACGACATGGCGGCGGAAACAACAAAACTACAGCGAGAATAAAAGTTACGCCTTCTTTCTTTGCGTGAACATTTGGGCGGCGTTATGCAAATCTTCCCAGATCGTGACGTAGATATGTGGGGGCGTGTGAGAACGAGCCGTTTTAGGTAGGCGTGGCTGACTCTTAACTTTTATAAAGAATATCTCTTTGGATTTGAGACTTTAGTCTTTGCAACTTTACAGATCTTCTTTATGCACCAAGAGCTTGTAACACTCCAAAGAGAAAGGAAAAATTGAAATCGCATCATTTAAGAATACCTATTTGCTTGTTTGTTTCTTACTAGGCTGTGACTCCCAAGATTGTCCGGGATGTCTGCTCTAAATACATCTATGACAAATGCCCAGCTGTGTCTGCAGTTGGTGAGTCAGTTTATTTTTATATTTAATATGCACTTTGTGTTTATTATTTTGTGTTGGAGTGAATAAATATTTAGTGGAATTCTCTTTTATATTAGCATGACACATAATTAAGGAATTTAACTAGTAACCAGTGTAGTGATTATGATATGACTGGGGAAGTCGTGGAAGTCATGACCGGGGAAGTCGTGGCCTAATGGTTAGAGAGTCGGACTCATAACCCAAAGGTTGCGGGTTCGGGTCTCGTACCGGCAGGGGGTGTTGGTGGGGGGGGGGGATGTACAGCGCTCTCTCCCACCTTCAATAGCGTTCACTGCTGTGTGTGTGCACTTTGGATGGGTTAAATGCAGAGCACTAATTCCGAGTATGGGTCATACTTGGCCACATGTCACGTAAAAAAAATAATGTTGAGAACACACTTTTAAAAGCCAAGGGTGCATGTTTGACAAACATAAAGACTTGGGTTAAGCCAGGATTAGGCCACAGTTCAATTAGGACATTTAAGTATCTTTTATAAATGTACCTTAGAAAAAAAAAACATTACTGGTGAGCATCTTGAGACAAATCAATAACACTAACATTTAAGATATGTCAGTGCAAGTTTCTTTCGGTTAAAACAGCCTGTGGAATTGGGGGAAAGTGTCATACAGTGCTCAAGCTGTAGTGCTCACTTTAGCTTCGGATGACTCTGTATAGGTAGTGTTTTTACCATCTGCTCTCATGATTACTTAACTGTTTTTTGTTCTGAAATTAATTGCAGATGAGCAAATTAAGCCCATCTGTGGATCAGGGATTAATCATTAACATACCTAATATGGTTATATTTTCTGGATCTAGCTGCAGCTTATTTATGGAGACATTTGGTACAATAATTAATTCTGCTAACAGACTTTAATGGAAGGAAATTGCTAGATTTATCCCAATGCTGTGGTATTGAAATTGGTATTAAGAATTATGAAATTTCACTGGTATTAACAACTGAATTTATGTAACCTTGCAATTGTTTCTTTCTTTATGCAGGTCCAATAGAGCAGGTGCCAGATTATAACAGAATGAGAAGTGCTATGTACTGGCTCCGATTTTAAATGTTCCTTGGGCTGTCAGCCCTCACTGATGTGATGTCTCTCTTTGCAACTTTTGTCCTCATCATTTTCGTACCCTTATCTTATCTTATGATTAGCATATTTGCCCACTTGTTATCTTAGCCATCTTTTTCCAAGCTGAGATGGAGAGAGAGAGGAGAATTTGGTACATTTACACCTAGAATGTCAGACATGGCACAGAGCTATTTATGAATATATGTGATGTTTTGTTTCTGTCCATTTTGTATATAGCAATAGCTCTCATTCCGACTTCAAATAAAACCCTGTCACATCCAGTTTTTATTTGATTTGTTTTGGTTGCTTCAGAGAAAATAAACCCTTTCAGTGTCTCCAATAAACAGGCAGTGAACTGTGGGTTAAGAAGATAATAGGAAGGTATTTTAAAGGAATAGTTAAAGAATAAATGATTTAAGTTAAATTTGACAAGTTAAAATGACAGCTATGTTAAGATATTTCCTCTTCTTGCCATTATCAAAATAAGCAGTTTATACATTTTAATGTTCATGTTGGTGAGTGTTCTGGGAATATGTACCTATTTTGGAAAAGGGACTGACTGTAAAAAAAAAAAAATCAGAAGACTATTGTGCAAACTCTGCCATGTCCATATATTTTTATTGTCTTTGGACAGTCATATTTGATGCAACTGATGTGACTGGAATGATGTAATCAAATATTGTGCAACCAGTTTACACATGATCAGAAAAGCAAAAACTTTTGACAGTTTGTAATTTATTTTTGTTCTAAGCCTAATTTAACAGTAAATGCACAAGGAACTTTAAAAGTCATGCATTTTAGATCAATAGGGTCATCTTGTCTATGTTTTCCAGTTTTTTCCTCAGAGTAAGAAACTTGTTTTGTTGAAGCATGTTTTTAACTGTGGTAAAACATACTATAGAATTAGACCTCACTATACCCAGCCATATAATAAACCATAAATTATTTAAAAACCAGTGACCTAGTTTTTCATGTAGAAACAGTCATTTTTGCATTTATGCATCTTAAATCATTGCAATATTTTTTATTTTTTTCTTCAATTTCTGTGTTCATATTTTGACCTATAATGGTTTCAAATATACATAAAGGGCAATTGATTTACAATAAATAAAGGTACAGGACAAAAAGTCTGAGACTGCCAAAGAACCAGGACCAGATCTGTTTCTCTCAAGTTACAAATGATTTCTTTAACTGAAATAGTCTGTAGTTATAATTCTGACTCTGCAACATTATTTCCAGCAAACAACAATGTTAGGGTCATTCTCCAAACGCTCATCCAACTCCTTATAACTCATTCCTGAAAAAACAGGCAAGGAATAATGTCACTTTCTTTAAAATGGTTAAAATCAAGGAATATTCTTGTGAAAAATATACATAATATGTATACATAATACCAGTTTTGCAACAGATTTCATCATAACTATGGCAGCCAGTATAAAGTCTAGGTGGACGACTCCTCTCATCTCTAACAACCTTGACTGGATACTTCTGCAGGCGCCGAATCAGACCTTTCATCAAGCCAAACTGAATCAACTTCCTAAAGCAACACAAAAGATAAAAGTAGAATAATTTTACATAGAATATTTATCTTCTTACAGATCACACTAGTACTTAACCAATAGCCAAATAAGCCAACAGGACACAAAAGCATTCTTTTTAATCTTTACAGTATTGTCCTGTAGTTTAAACACACACACACACAAACAATTGACATGTCTTACAAATGGCATGTCAATTGTGGGAATTTAAGTGTGAACAACAATCAAATTCAAATGGCCTTACCTTTCATCCACCCTCTGTAGCTGGTGAGAATAGCGGGAACAGAGGTCACGTACAGTCGTACCTGGGGTCAGACCACAATACAACTGGAATACGTCCCTGAGATTTGTCCTTTGGCCTGGTGAAATACACAGTAAAATGTCTTCTATATCTATTCACACTCATATACATACATGTTGCAGAAAAAAAACATGCATTTGGAATTGCTGAACTTGCTTACCTAGCTTACTGACATAGTGGATACACTCTTCCTGAAGGCACTTCTTATCTATTAAGTTTTGTACTTTAGGTGTTGTGCAGTAAACATTTGAGTACTGTAGAATATGAAAACCAAAAGCAATTTAAGAAAAAGTATAATAAAATTCTGAAGAAACTACAACAACAGAAAACTTACCTGGAATATGGATACCAGAGTTACCACTTCATAATACCTGTGAAACGTAATAGCATTGTTCAGTCCATGACTTGTCACTTTGCTGCTATTACATGTATGAAATGTGTACTTTCTGCATCATTGTAACTATTGTAATGATCTTTTTATGGTTTTAGAACATTTCATTATTTAAATTTTAATAAGGTGCTAGATTTTGATAAATTCATCATAGTATCTATACATTTTTGTCAACAATTAAGAGATTGAGACCTTATGCCAGAAGCAGGAGGTATATCAAAATAACAATAACATTGTGGGTTACATACAACTTGAGCTGTCATCTAGCATCTATGGCATGTTGTAGTGTACACATTCTGTACACACAGCCTGTTATCTAATCTTTATCATGTCTGTCATTAGACATTCGTTTTGGAGTTCACAACGAAAAGTTGCTGTTCTGTAAGAGAAATTGCAGACAATTTTGCAACGGGTAGAATTAAGTTTATGGCACTGTATAATATCTGCAAACAGTAGCTGGGTCTCATTCATTACTATGGAATGTGATGGTTGCTTTTCTATAATGAGACAGCCTTGATAACTTATGTGGCCGACAAATGCTACATCTAGATGGTGCAGCCTTCAAAATGAGACACAGCTGTGACTAACTAACTGTCATGCATTTCAATTATATGATTGGTTATCAAGGCACTTGTTGACCATTAGACTTTTCTCCAAATGTAGAGCTGCAAGGGTTGCTATTTCCCATAATAATAAGAATATCGGGGCACTGTACCATGATGGTAGTTGAGTTTAGAGTTACAGGATTAGTTTTGAGTTGACAAAACCAAACCAATCCACTCAGGCTTTGTTCGTACCATGACACTGATCATCAACCTTCTGTCAACTCAGGCTTTGATACTGAGTTCACGGAGAGCATGCACATTAGCATGCACATCAAGGCATATGATTAGCAAACAGCCAATCATATGCCTTGAAACACACAAACTGCAATTTACTTTTCACAAGAGAGTCACTCTCCTCTGCCAAAGATTACGAGATTGAAAATTATGAAGAATTTAAGAGCAAGAGAAACTGGGGAGTGACTTTATTTAATTACTTTATCACTTTGCTCACAGCTGACTGGTCAAATTTTGTTTTGCAAAGAACAGAACATAACCTGCACCAGAGCAGTTTAGCCATAGAGCGTAAGTTACTATGGCAATGAACACCACTAAGAACAGAGCCACTTTCATGGTGCCTAAAACCCAGGCACAAACTAAACTGAAACTTACCTGGCTAGCCAGCTAAACCGGCTTCATGATATAGGCCTCATATGTGAACATGTGAATTCAGATTGTGAACAGTTCAACCATGCATATGTTATATATATTTTTTAATGACCTTGTAATGTTTAATCAAAATGTTCCAACTTCCAGTGAAAACTACAGACGGATAATGAATGCAGGATTTCGCCAACTATTTAGTCCACTTAAACCCTGCACGTTCATCTGCCTCTGCTTTAGAGTGCAACGCCCACATCTCAAAATCCAGTCAAAAACCAATGCATAGAACCAAGTCCCTACCAAGTTGCATACAAGTTACAATAAACAATATAAGATCCGTCACTATTTCCATTTCATTGTGGCTTTAAAGACTTTTTGTTTACTTGTGCAGTATTATACATTTTTCAGAATAAAAACTGGGTGCTGAAGAACCAATGAGGTAGAGGGTTAAGCTGTATTTAACACAGAATATTCCTTTTAATAAATTATTTAGATTAATGCAGCAGCTCAAAATAGGAACATACTTACAATAAATTCTGAACAGCAATCCGCACCAAATTAAGCTCAACATCGGCCTCAGCTGAGATTTTTTGAATGTGTCGATACCCATCTACAAAGGGTAAGATCTGCAAAAAAAGTAATTAAAATATTCAAGAAAAATAATATAAATGCAAAATTACTGGTAACATAATTAATGTTTGAAGGCAGTATGTCAAATAAAATCACATTATACCTGTTTCAACTACAAGCGTAAGTGGCATATCAATGCAACATCAGAAAAACAATGGTTAACAGAAGATGGTAATAAGCTTTACAAACGTAATTGTCGCAAAATCTTATTTACATAAGGACAACATTTGCTTCTAAATTCTTTACAATTAGAGTGTTATAAACTGTTCAGCTCGTCTCATTTCAGTCACACTGTGGTAAAACGTGCTGTGTCGTGTCACAGTGTGTAAATTGCTCCCAGTTGAATAAAACTATTTCAAACAATAGGTACATTTTTTTCATTGTGTTTTTTTCCCCCTCCGTTTTTTGGACTTACTAACTGCAGGGGTTTATTTATTTATTTTATTTTTTTTAAATCTGATAATAAAAAAGACAAATAAAATCAATTTAAGACAGTAAAAGTAAACGGTGGGAAACATTTTTTGGAGACCTGCTGTGTGGTGAGATCCCATTGTGATTTTATAAAGTGGTCTTTATTCTTGGTAAATACTGGTACATCATACTCCTGAACCACCAGAGGATCTTTCCTTTGTTCAATTAACTTCAAGTGGATGGTGTTCGAGTCATCTGTCATGAAAGAGCGAGAAAGGGTGATTATAAAAACAATGACATACACTGATGGGGGAAACAGAGAGATAGAAAATGCATATATAACCAATAGGTAGGGTGCAGGCTCCTGTAACATTAAGTTCCTCCAGAAGTGTGGACAGGATAGGCAACAGCTTCTGTTTACTCTCCTCATTTGAAATGAATCCACTCTCAAGCTAATCAAAGAAATTTAATGAAACAGTTAATAAGTGCCAATTTTTAAGATAACATAACATGAATACTTATCAAATGAACGTTTACCTCCAGAGTTGTGAGGTAGCCAGACAGTTTTTTGACAATAGGTTCTAAAGCACATGTTTTTGTCCTGGCATCACAGACTAAACCCAAATTGAAGAGCAAGGCATTCCGGCTGTACTTCTTATGCTCAATGCACACTGGACAACCTATTAGTTTCTTCTCCATGGCAGTCCTTAATCAGTTACACAGATAAAACACAACAGTGTCATTATTAATAACTCTAAAGGTCTATTTACACCAAATTGTAAAAATCACAGATGCAAACCAAGAAGTAATAAAGGGAAAAAAAATCTACAATGGGTGCAGCTAAAGCCATTTAATCACTTAAGTTAAAAAATATATATATATTGAAAGACTGAAATCTATGTAACTGTTTCTATACCATTCCAAATCAAGAACCAAATAAGAATTTATATGACTTCAGTTGGAGAATATTGGGATGACTGCCATTTCAATGTGTTTTCATTTTGGTTTGTATTGCTTTGATATGAAGATTTTTAAATGTATGCATGTATGTATTGTAAATGTCAATATATTTGTACGAATGTGTGAGTGTGTAGGCCTATACATACAAGGAAGCATTTTTGAACGCAGATGTATAAGCCTATAATTTGTATAACTATAGTGCAAATACAAATACGACAATGCAGCAATAAGATGAGGAAAAAGTCCAGTACGTACACCGTTATGAGCTTGTTCTGCAGTTCAGGTTTGGTGATGATGTACACCTGCACTGTATCAAAAAGTTCCCTCGAAATATATTCTTCAGGAACCTTCGATCAAACATAAAAAAATTCATGACGAATATAACTGTATGTATGTATAACCATATAAACATTAACGTTAGTTTGCATGCATCCCTAACGGACTTTTCTTACCAATACCACTTCATATCTATGGTCAAACATACTGCATTTATTCTCTTGCTCCCAAAATATTTTCTATGACGTTACCTGATATGTGATCTTTGGTCCTAAAGTTGGATGAAATTCACTAAAAAATATACAATCTATTCGTCTGTATGACCCCATATTCAGTAGAGAGCTCGTTAATGTTGATCTATATAATTCTTCTTCTTCTTTTTTTTCTTCTTCTTCTTCTCCTCCTCCTTTTTTAACGGCCGTTGGCATCTAGCTTATTGGTGCATTGCCGCCACCTTCTGCTCAGGAGTGTGGATCATACTTTTATATAAACCATAGAAGAGCCCAGTTCTCTGACCTGTGCTCTCGTATTGATCTCCAGGGCTGCTTTTAAAGTGATCTCCTGTACCCCTAATTTGTTCAGATTATTTTTCATTATATCCCTCTGTATTTCATATTTGCTGCTATTCTAAATTACATGTTCCACTGACTTCTCTTTCTGACAGTTCTCACACAAGCAAGCCTGTCTGATGTTCCCTCACCATTCTTAATGACTAATATCAACACTACTTCCTCTTCTGTTTCCATTTGATACTCTTTTATGATATAAATGTCTCCCCTTCCCCTCTCCATCACACCTTTCTTGTCACATTTGGTTGATTTCCGCCCCAGATTATGCATTTCATCTCTGCTTTACTAATTCTTATTTGCATTTCTACATTTGCTCTCTTTAACGCTTTTTTTTTTTTTTGCCACCTCATTCGCCCTCTCATTTCCCTTTACTCCTACATGCACTAGGACCTGCAAGAATTCAACCTGGCCTCCCTGGTTTATTATTCTTGTAACAGATTGACTTCAAATAATATGTCTTGTCGACTGTTCAGTAGGAAAGAGCTTAAGCTTACTATGACTGATGATGAGTCTGAACATAGCCTATCACAATTTTGTATTTTTTTAAATTTATTTTTTATTTTAAAATAATCGTAAAGCAAGATACAAGAACCAAGATAATTTGCATAACACAGAGATATACAATGTATCGTATCTCTCTCTATATAGTATAAAAATATTCCAGGCTACAAAACATTAAAAACATAAATGCATTAACACCAGATATGAGGTCAAAGTAAACAGGTTTCCAGAAACAGCAAAAACTTTTGCACATACACGCCTTAAGGAGTTTAATTTAAATAGTTTGAGAGGGTGTTCTTTCTGTCCCTTTGGCCCCTTTGTCTCTGCCTATATACCGTCATTTTGGAGAAGGATGTTTATTGTAGACACAGACCTGGCAAGGCTGTCTTCTTTCCCAAGACCCCAGGGTAGGGTCTTGTTTCATGGAGGTGGAAGTGTTTTATATTTTAATTCTTTTTGTCTTTGAGTGTGTGTGTGTATGAACAAATGTTATAGTTCTTGAATTTTAGTGTAAACATTATTTTGTACATGCCGAGCTGCATGGGGGAATGCTGATTTGTTTCCACTTTTTGCAATGATTTGTGTGTGATCACAGCTTTCATTTAGGGGGATTATGCAGTTTGGGGTGAAGTAACCACTAGAGCGCATTGCAGCGCTGGGAGTTTCACTTGTGATTGTTGTCCTAGTGAGGGTGTATAAGACATGTTTATCAGTTAAATGTTATTTAAAAGATATTTCTATTTTGCTGGATTAAATTGTCAATAAAGTGACATTTTCTATAAAGTCTGGATGGTGTGACGTACCCTCTGTCCTCCATATGGCTGATTAAATATTTTTTAAACCAGCTAGGTTTAATCTAAATCTCCAAAGCAGATTCCAAGGAATAGCTGAAATGAAAATTTACTCAATCATTTACTCAAGTTATTGTAAACTTGTAAACTTGTTTCTTTCTTCTGTGGGACATAAAAGCCATTGCTGGTGTGCTGGTGGCAGTGTTAACCACCACACAAACCACGCAAAATCACAAGAAGCACCCTCTTTTCACAATACAGCATGTCGCGAGTATCTTGTTGTTTTTACAAAACACCAAGGGTGCTGATATTAGTGGGCAATTCTGAATTTATTCAGTGACTGCATGTGTCAGCTGAGCTCAGAATAGCACTGGCATTCTACTCTTATTATTATTTCACTATTATTATTTCAACTATTACTATTATTCAATATAAAGTTATAGCAGAAATAGCATCATGATTTATCTTAGTATGCAATTCTGAATTCAGCATAGGATGCTATAACCTAACTTAAGTAAAGATACAATAAATTCTATGGATGATAATTTCTATGATTTTCATAGGCTTACAATGCTTTTGGGAAATGCAGCCCAGTTTAACCCCTTAAACTGTCACCCCCCATTTTTTAAAATAGGCATGAAAGTGCACTATCCAAACTTAAATTGTTGTAATTTATTAACACTTTGGAATACAGACCTAAGGTTGGTCTCTTTTTAAAGAAGAAAATCAGCAGATTATTGCAAAATTAGATTTTTTTTCCAAAAAATTAAAGTATCAAAAAGTTATAGAAGTTTAAATGTACTGTAAATAAAATGCACAATATTAATTTTATTTTATTTATTATAAATATGTTACATAACAGGTTTTACTCTAAAATTGGTATAAAATTAAAGCCTTATGTCTAAATAAGTTATGTTCCAAATTTGAAGTTGATATGAAAAAAACTGAGGTTCCTGTGACATTTTATTTAGGACGTCATACCACAAACAGCCACCGGGTGCCATCCAAACTCCATTAAATTTTTTTCATGAATTTTTCTGTCACAAATGTCTAGATTTCTCTGTCAATATTACTTCTATCTGAAAATAAATTATTATAAAAAGGTTTGATTCTAAAAGACCGTAATGCATTTTGTAATATGACACTTGGCACTGCCCACTAAGGGGGAGGAGACCGCCAAAAGATTTTAAAGTACCATTTCTATGGTAACGCAATGTCCGATTTCAAAATGGTTTTCACAGGATGAATCTTGGGCTTCTAAGCTTTCAAATGATATATCATTTGTGATGATTACTAAAACATTTGATAGAGAAAAAGGACAACAAAAAAAAGAGTGCCAAGCGTCCCACAGGTGGGACGGTGACAGTTAAGGGGTTTTAAAGTAAATGGTTAAATTTTTGGTTAAACTATCCCATTAAGGTCTATATGAAATATCTAACGTGAAATTAGTATGTTTTACGGCATATGAAAACATTATTATGTGCATTCATGCTTATATGCAATAGACGACAGCTTAGAATGTATATTTAGGGACTTGTTTATAATATGTAAAGTTTACAATCTGTTATTTCTGAAACAGTGCCATTGAATGTGATGATGGGATTATAAAAAGGTTTGATTCTAAAAGACCGTAATGCATTTTGTAATATGACACTTGACACTGCCCACTAAGGGGGAGGAGACCGCCAAAAGATTTTAAAGTACCATTTCTATGGTAACGCAATGTCCGATTTCAAAATGGGTTTCACAGGATGAATCTTGGGCTTCTAAGCTTTCAAATGCTATATACTTTATGATGATTACTAAAAGGTTTGATAGAGAAAAAGGACAACAACAAAAAAGAGCGCCAAGCGTCCCACAGGTGACAGTTAAGGGGTTAACTTGGCTCTTGGAGTTAACAAATTGCACACACCAGTAAAAGTATGCATGGTCAAGACTGTGTTTAACAACACACAAGCATACACATAAATACACAACACATTTGCATACAGACAATACAAATGCACTTTCCAATGCAAATTTTATACATATGTGAATCACTATGTAGCTATCACATGCATAAAATGCAAACTTGCCTGCTGGGTTGCCTCGTTGATTTAAGGGGGTTTAAATAGTCCCATGTAACCTGACCTGTAGATAATATCACATTTGTATGCAAATGATCTGCATTAGCACTTCCCTGTTCCTTTTACATGAACAAAATGTGCTTTGTGGCATGTGGAACCTTTATGCAACTCATAACCAAATTCCATGTCAAAAACTGACAAAGGGAGCTCATTGGCAGGAAGTATATGTATAAAAATAAACTCTGCAAAAAACAAAAAACAAACTTAAAATAACTTTTTTAGAATAGGCCTACTGTATTTTAATATTTTAAAAATCCAAATACCCAGGTAAAAAAGAACTTAAGCTGTACCAGTGGTGTGCGGTGGTGGTGTTGTCACGATTCGGCTACTGCTACTGTGTAAGAACGAGGAAGCGAGGAGTCAGAGCAATTAACAGGGAGCAATCTTTATTAACCCAGATAAAGACTCCCATACAGGCATGACCGCACACGTAGCATGGGGAACAGATGTTTGACAGTGGACGCTGGAGACAGGGAAACAAGGCTTAAGAACACTACTTAATCAAGGGAAGACGAGACACACCTGGAATCAAATTAGAAACAATCTGGGAGCAGGAACAGGAAATTAACCAAAATAAGGGCAAGGAAGGCACATGGGGAGCAAAACACAAAACAAAAACTTTTTTTTTAAAAATTCAAATGTGTAAATTCATGTCCCAGTCACATTTTCTTGGTTAAATAAACATTACTTACACTATCAAAAAAAAAAAAACATTTCTGTTTTATATTTTTACATTAAAAACAATGTAATCAATATTCTATTTATTAAAGCCATGTATTAATCTCAAGTTAGTGTTTTTAAGCATTTTACATTTATTAAAATAATAACTCACAGCAGTATTTAAACAATATATTTTATTTGTGAACTTATGTTCAGCTATTCTTTTTAATAGTTAACTATTTTTTAATTTTTCAGATCATCAGTCATCAAATTTCACCAAGCTGAATGCTCACTAAAATCTCCCACAGATCATGTTTGCATGCCATTTTAAGTCTTATTTTGATGTAACAATATGGTTATATCTAAGTGTGTGAGTTGTTTACTTACTTTTTCCTTTCCCATTCACACCATTATATTGTTCATTCAGACTGATTTACAAACGAGGAAATCGCACGAACACAAGAGGCGGTATTTATCGCATGAACCAATCACAGCCAAACATAACCATTTCCAATCATATCGCGATGGAGGCATTGCCTCCTCTCACGTGACTTTCCCCCATTCATTCTCAATTACTCCCCAGTAAAGTCACGGCATGCTATGGGATCTCTCTTTATAGACAATGGGCTCAGGGGAGGCAAGTGAAGAGCAGGCAAAAGCACGCACATCGATCTCAACTGGGTGCTCGACTAAGAAACAAGTGGAAAATTTTTTAAATGTAAAGCCGGCAACACCAAAGCTCCAAA